AAAAATCTTGGTCAAAAATCTTAAATCTTCAAATTTTTACTAGTAGTGAAAAGCTACATAAGCCTACTGCTTGATTATTAAGATATCAAAACTGTAGGTTTTACATGTACACTGAGTTAGAATCATGAAAAGAACAATACTTAAGAGAAATATACTCCTACTTCTTGTATATTGTAAAGGTTATTTAAACAGAACCAGAAATGATCTGGGAATCAAAATCCTACCTCACAGCAAGAAGTGAGTGCATTGGTGATTAACCAGCACTGAACCCACCACACTCATCAGTGCATTTGTTGGGAAATCTTAAAATTGGAGAAATCTTAAGTAGGCAAACTAAATCCACTTCACCAACTTTACTGTGTTCACTGGGACGGGAACACAAATGATGGGCTTTTCTCCCCTACAAACCCAAGGCATAAATGTGTCATGTTTACTAGAAATGTCCTCTTTTTTACAGTCCTGGGAGCTGTCCAGTCTCCCATTATCTTTTATATTGACAATATTCTCTGTCACTCAAAAGATATTAAATTTTCAAGAACTCAGAAGCAACCACACTTTCCCCATCTTCTCATAAAAGTTAGAAGAAACCCTTTATTTTAATAGAGCCTTTTCAAGCAGTCCCAAACTTATCCATGAGGGAACACACACATTTCCTATTGCCAGAATGCATCCCAAACATAACAGAGAAACTTCATTTTTGCAATAAAGCAGCTTGTATCTAGACAAGTGGATAAACTCTTATTTTTTTCAGTTTCCTCATGTTTGCTCAGAAAGATTCTGTATAAGGCAGATTTTACCAGCCTCAGCCAAGCTTGTTTTTCCTTCTGAAGAAGTGCTGAGAGTTGATGTTAGGATTGGAAGGCACTGCTGCTTTGTGGAGGCTTGGGGGAACAGATAATCCACTGGCAAAAGGAATTGGCTTTGATGGCCACTTTCCCCAGTTCTATGATTTATTTGTCTTGAAGCATCCCCCAGTCCTTGACTCAAGACATCTCAAAAACCAATGCATGCCCATCATGCCACTAAAAAGTATTACCATTCTGGGAACAAATATGTTTGAGAAACTGATAGCAGGAAAGAAGTGTTTTCAATAAAGATTTGTGATGATTGAGTGCTTCCAGGCCAGAGCAGCCCCTTTGGCTTCCAACAAGGAGATATCACATTACTCACAGGCATCAAAACTGGCCAAATTCCCAATCTTGGTATAAATGCTTGCAAATCAAATAAAAACATTCATCAGTTTTGAAAGGAAAAAAAAAAATCAGTGAAAAATGTTACAATAAATTTCTTAGCTAACCCTGGTGCTTAGGCTGCAAAAGGTTTTGTATCACCTATTTTTTATTAACCAGAAAGCAGAGAAGAAAAAAATTGTTAAGTAGGATATTCAGCAAAAAAATGTGAAACATAGAGCCAGACTTTGTGTATTGATTATGCAAAGAGGGGATGCCTTAAATAAAAGAGAAATCACAAATCACTAAAGAAAGCAGGAAGTAGCAGTGTTTTGTTTCTTATTGAGCCCTCTCCCCTGTTCCACCTGTCCCATATAATTTCAGAGATTAACAACACAATCCTGGCCATAAAGCTATAACAGAGTAAATGTTGGAGCATTATGAACATCTCCAAAGCCAAAGGTGAACAGTTTCACATTTCCTGGGAGGGAAAAGCAGTATTTCAGAGCTCCAACACAGTGTGGACTCCACAATGGGCCAGCTGAGAGCTGCTGAGAGCTTTTGCCACCTCGGCAAGCAGCAGGAATTCCAGATTCCAAGCATTTGCCAGATGCATATTAAGGGGTTTGCAATGAATGGCTACCAAATAAATAGCCACAGGGCAGTGAGCTTTCCTTCTTGTCTCAGCTTTGCATACACCTGCCAGAACAGCTTCTCAGAGAAGGCAGTCATTTAAACTCACCTCTAATTTAATCTGGCCCTCCAGGGACAGGAGATAACTGGTTCTAATCAAGTAATAATGATATATTTGAATTTAGTAACATCAATCAACATTATAAACCTATGGCACATACAAATTGAAACCATTATTAGCCTCAGCTCTCCCAAACCACTTCAGAACTGCATCATGAATAAAGTCAAAAAGGATTTGTCTCATGTTCTTGACTTTATGATCTTGGCTTTTTAGCTATCATGTACTACAGTATTTCCCATACAAAAGATAATGAGGAAAACTAGGGTGATGGATTTCAGGTCAAATGATGCTCAATTTCTCCATCAGTATTGGGGAAAGGAAAGAACAGGACCCACTCAGTAATCATGGAACTCATTTCTCCCCAGCTATACCCCAAACTTTACCTCTTTACAAAATGTACCAGGATCCTGAATTCAAATCATAAGTGGAACTGTACAGAACAGCAGAACAGCTTTGGTCAGCTCCAACTCCTGCCCTAACCTGGCAATGACTACAATCTGTAGCTATTGCCACCTCAGTGACCATATTCAGTTCTCCATGAAACTGGGAAAGACCCATCTTTCAAATACTCATAAAAAAGTCAAATTCCACTAAGGCTGATATCTCTGCCAAGGGCTGTCTCTGCCCAATTCTCTTTTAATGCTTTCTCTAAAATAGTGACAGATGGGAAGATTTGTGCTTTTCCATTCCTGCACAATGTCTGTTGTCACCCTCTTACACAGAACAAAATATTCTCTCTTAAAACAGGTAAATCAAAGTACCTGGAAGAAAGATGGTTTGGATTTGGATATACAAATTAGAAACTGAACCAAAAATAAAACCCTGGCTGTCTTATTTCCAATTGAATATTCCAGTTGAGAGAAGGGATTTGGAGGCCTTTTTGTGGTGTTTTGTAACATGTGTGTTCAATTGAATCTTGGATCTTTTCAAAATTTGTATAAAGAGGGAACACATGGACCTACAAGTGGCTCCCCTCTTCCACATCTGTCCAAGACAGGAGAGTTATGGTGAGTGGGAGCAGAAGCTGAATGGATTGAAGTCCTGTGTAACACAATGGGGGTGTTAGCAGGGTGGCTTTTTGGGGCAGAGAAGCAGAGTCTGGCCTGTCCCATTTTCTGTTCCAACTTTGACAAAAACATGTTTCTCATCTCAGGAAGCCAGTGAAGAATTTGCCCCTGGGAATCACAGAAGCTCCAGCTGGAAGAGGGCTCAGACAGGATTAGAGGCAGAACAAAAAGGTCAGGCTTTCATCTGTGTGCAGTGGCACTTTCTTGTCTGAAGTATAAAAAGCAATTTTGCTATGGAAGATTTCTGGAATGTTCATGACAAAAATTGACTGAAGCCTATGGTCTGCTATGGAAGTATCCTCTGTGCTTTAAACAAATTGTACTTGCATATCTCTGGCAATATCTCAGCTCACCAATCCCACACAGTGGCCTCACAAGCTGACACGACAGACTCAGTTGTTTTGAGCACAGCACACAGGCAGTCAGTCACCCACAAGACAACTGCTTGTTTGGAGCTCTCATCCTGACCTCCTCATAAAGATGCCCTTTTCCTTCTCTATGAAAATTCAGGTTTACAAGACACCTGTATTCATATCCCACTCCTGCAGTGCTTTGATGACTTCACCTCCCAACATCTTCACACTCTTTGGGTCTGTTTTGGAGAAAAATTATTAGCCAGTCCCAGTGAAAATCAGAGGCAATAACAAAGCATCAAGCAACAAGTGTATCAGAGCTGAGGAGGAAGAGAAACTGCATCAACAAGCAATTGTGCTTTCTATTTCTTTAAAAGCAAATGTCAGGTCAGCAAGGCTTTTCTAATGGTTCCTAATCAAGCAGAAATCCTGCAGCCACTTTGGATCAGCAAAAGAAGCCAAGATGGGATAGTGTGTGTCAGTTGGGTTTGTCCTAATGTCCTTTTTAAGAAGTGCAAGATTAGCTTTCTTTTGTTATTTCACAGCATTTATGCAAAGAGCAGATACATGAGGCATTTAATCCTTTATTTCATCTCATTTCTGCCCATTATCATAAACAGAAATTTTTGCAGGAAGATGCAAGATCCCACATATGTTAGGCAGTTACAGAGCAGCTGGCCTGAGGAGCAAAAACTCATCCAGAAGGATCTAGAAATAAGCCTGCAGACCTTTTGGAAAATGCTGCACCTTTGCTGAAATGGTTTTATTTGGAGATCAGTAAAATTCTGAACTGTTAAAGATATAAAAGAGGAGGGGAAGTTTCCATCTCAGCCAGCTGAGACTGGACTAATATTCTGAACATCTTAAAATTTAAGATTTATTCTAAAATCTACTGTTTATGTAACTACAGATATTTTAATTAACCATAGATTTTTCTCTCAAAATCCTATTAATAAACTGGCCTCCCTAACACTGGAGTTAGATCACATTGCCTGTAAAAACAACCACCCTGTGCCAATTTTACATAGATTCTCACCATTACTTAATGTCCATTCACTTGCCCACTATGAATAAACAGAGGAGTGAGTTTTTACTTACACATTCTGCAGATTTAATTTCATCCCACCCTCAGATATCCCATTTCTAAAAGAACAGCAGTGGATTTTACAACATTAATAGTGCAGAGAAGCCAGTATCCAGAGAGAAGAGGATTAGATGCTTAACTAATTAATTTGCTAAAACACTGCCTCTAAGAAATAATACAACCATAGAGTTACCCCCTACAACTTCTGGGGTTGTAGTAGGACTTGTAGCAGCCAGGGCTACCTTCCAGGGAGTTACCTTCCTTGAACTTCTAAAAACTCACACATTTTGAACAGCCTTTTCACATTCTGGATCTCTAATGCTCTCATGTTATTTAAATGCCAGAACTAGTCACCAAGAGGGCTCCAATCCAATAGGCAATAATTGCTGGAAATTCTCCTCATTTCCTAGCCCTCTCCTACACCCCTTCAAGACAGAACTGAGGGAAGTCTCTCCTGCTCTCCCCAACCTTTCCTGGCTGAAACCTGCTCCAATTTCACCCTGTAAATACCTGATATGAACAGATGAACTGGGAGGGGCCAGCAAGCTCTTCATAGTTTCAGGGGGGTGGAGGTAAACAGAAAAATAGTATATAAGATGCTTTCAGACAGACTTCTAAAGTGCATAGACTGACAGGAGGTGTCTGAAAAAAAGCCACTTCCTCAGGCTCCACCTTCAGAGACTCACTTCATTGGAAGCAAGGAAGGTACCAGGCTGCTGCAGGAAATTTTATACCTATCCCAGCTGCATTCAGACTACTGCAGTCAGCTGGAAGGTTTCTGTTGCTGTAAGCAAAAATGCCAGCAAGACCCACGGTTCAGCTGGCATGGCTCTGCATCGTCACCGTGTCTGTGGCGATCTACCCAGCGCTGCTGCAGAAACCTCCCAAGAGGAGAACGATCCACGGGAATGCACAGCTGAAGGTGCCAGGCTGCTGCGAGGAGATCAAGGAGCTCAAGCTGCAGGTAGCCAACCTGAGCAGAATGCTGCAGGAGCTGAGCAAGAAGCAGGAAGGGGACTGGGTGAATGTGGTGATGCAGGTGATGGAGCTGGAAGGGAGCGCCAAGCAGATGGAGTCCCGCCTCATCGACGCCGAGAGCAAATATTCCGAAATGAACAACCAGATAGACATCATGCAACTGCAGGCTGCTCAGATGGTCACCCAGACATCAGCTGGTAAGGAGGGAGTCACCAAGCTCCCACACACACCTCTCAATGCACCACTAATGACTAGTTCCTAGTGCCAGCATGTCCTGCTAATGTGGTTAGCAAGCATGCACACTGAAAATTGCTGCTTAGGCAGTGACCCTGAGAAAACTAGTTGGAATTTCTTCATCTGTATTTTTGTATCTCTGTCTGTTTTTAAGGAGTGCAGAAATTGAACAGGTATTGCGTTTCTACAGTGAGGAGTTCAGTCTAATAGTTCATTTTCTGAGCACTACACTACCAATCCTAAAAGAAGGGGAGCTGGCTTGGTAAGGGAATGGCTCTGACAGTAATAACCTCTGAGCTCACAGTGCTGACAGGAGACTAGAAATAGTTAATACAATTAGAAATGCTCTCCATTAATTACTAAAGATTTGTAATTGTATCTTTATGACTATCTCTGAACCAGAGTATGAAAAAGAGTGATCCATTATTTTTTAATGATCATTCTTAAAAATTCAAGGCTGTGAATTGAATACAAACTGTGATTTATACCTAGCCAGACCACAGTTAAATTCTTCAAAATTCTCTTCCCTGAGGGAAAATGTCATTGCACACAGTGATTGCACATGCCTGTATTCAATGTGGAATGCAGGTGCATTTTTAGGTCAGCTACCTGTAAAGGCACTTCTAGAAGAAAGCATCCTCTTTGCTGACTTTTCTCTTCAAATGAAACTCACTGCAAAGAGCTTCAATTGTCTCAGTCTCAACTGGATTTGCCAAAAGACTTGATTTGGATTTTTTTTTTAATATTAAGGAAAAACTTCTACATCTATTTACTTAATTCTTCCTCTAAAATAGTTGCACCTGGTTAGTTTTGACAAATCACTATTTACAATAGGCCTTGAAAAAAAGTCAGACCATAACAAGTCTCTTTGAAGCTGAAGAAAATACAGTTCCACGCAGCAGAAAGTGGCCCAGAAGGTATTTAGGACAGATGTGTCTCACCTCACCAGGTTAAGAGACATTTTTGAAAACTGTCAGACATTATAAAGCCTTGCTTCAGCTTATTTGTCCTGCTCAAAACAGCCATGCATTTTACCATCTTCAAGTCAGCTCCTGCACCAGGAGGAAAAGAGGCTTTCACTGACTGACTGACTGCAGTTTAAAGGCATTTTCTCAGTCACAGATGCCAGGGCAAAAAGAGCTGAACAAATATCCCTCATCCACAAACTTGGCCAACCTGTTCACACATCCAAAACAGACACCTGGCAGCAGGCCTGGCCATTTCATTGGATGAGTCTTTATTACTTAGTAGGGGGTCAGCAAATATACTATCCAGCACAGTGGCACTGTGATGAGAAAGCAGAAATGTCTTTTTGCAAAGAAGAGGTTAAAAAAAATTAAACAACTTAATAAAAGTCACAAAATCCCAGAGTTCCAACACCTTTTGCCAATGCATACACTACTCATAACAAAGCCATTTCAAGAAAACATTAGACTTGTGGAAAGCCTTCTTCATTACTCCTTGTACTACAAACTAAACTTTGCAGAAAGCACCTTCACAGAAGAGTTCTTCCTGCTCAGATTCTCACTTTCTGGTTCTGATTCAAGTAGATGCTGTTTATGATTGCTCATCACTTTACCAGAGGAACTACCGAATTTCTGGTGTTTACAAGCTACCTCCTGATGAATTTTTGGGAATTCCAGATCTGGAGGTAAGGCTATTCAGTACACAATGTATATTACATTTCTTTTAAAATACAATCAAGAAATACCTCTCTACAGAGATGAAAAAAGCACACACTAAGTTTTGGTACCCTGCACTTGCCATCAGCATTTTTATGTAAGCAAACTTAAAGGATGGAAAGAGTGTATGTACATTTAAGAGAGAAAATAGAAAAAGGGTTTATCTAATAATTTTTTGCCATAGAAGTTTCTTCAGGTTGTGAAATCTGGAACAATGTCTTGTGTTAAGAGAACTGAACCTTCCTAAGTCTACTGACAAGTAACCACAGCTTTTTTTTCCTATTCCAGGTGTTCTGTGACATGGAGACAGATGGAGGTGGCTGGACTGTCATCCAAAGACGTAAAGTTGGTTTGACATCTTTCAATAGGGACTGGAAACAATACAAGGAAGGATTTGGCAATATTAAGGGAGATTTTTGGCTGGGAAATGAAAATATCTACCGACTTTCAAGACGCCCCACTGTTCTGCGAGTAGAGTTGGAGGTAATTAATGAGCTCTTAATTTCAGCAGCAAAAGGCTTTTTTATTCCCCAGTACCAGATACCATCTCCTGTCTCTGTCGGAGGCCCAAAGAATTTCCATGCTTTAATTACAAGAGAAGGAAGTAGGATCAGCCTAGGATTACATTTAAACACAAAACAGAAGTCTGTTCTCCCCTGTGCAAAGTCAGTAGCACAACCTTCTGTCTGCACACATACAGTGTCCTCAGAACATGTGGGGTTCTTTGCAGAAGTCACTGAAGACAGAGATCAAACTGCTGATCATCTCGGATTTAAAAATTCAAAGAGATGTCCCATTAAGTTGCCAAGCCTCTGAGTCTTTTCATTTTGCAGCACTTCCTTCCAGCCTGGGCACAAGAGTTTGTGTTGTATTATCCTCAGTTTCTTCAGTCTGTTAAAGGCTTGGATTTGACCTAGACTAGTTTATAGTTGGTACAATAGCTTTGAGGGATAAGACATGTATAAACTGAAAGGCTTAATATCGAAAAGTAAATATAGTTAATATTAAAAGTTAATATCTAAATATCTAAAGTTTCAGAGAGGAAAAAAATGACTTGAGGCAGCTTGCTGACACAAGGATATTGAATGCAAGAGCTGCACATGAAGTTTTCTGTACAATACAGGGCAGATGAGACTTGGATGTTTCATGCTTTTTTCTGGAAAGTTCCTTTGCCTTAACAGAGCAGTTTTTGCAGTCAGATACAGTAAAAATATATGTCTATAATCGTGGATGTTGGAGTCTTTTTGGTAAGTGTTCTAACAGGACTGAGCTCTCCTCCCCTGTTCTGTGCAGGACTGGGAGGGTAACACACGCTATGCCCAATACCAGCAATTCACCTTGAGCAATGAAATCAACAGCTACCGCCTGTTCCTGGGGAATTACACAGGGAACACTGGGCGGGACTCCCTGAGGTACCACAACAACACGGCCTTCAGCACAAAGGACAAGGACAACGACAAGTGTGTGGATGACTGCGCCCAGTTCCGGAAAGGTAAAACACACAAGCCCCTTCCTGTCCCAACAGAGCTGCTTGGGTCAGTTGTAGAGAGCCCAACACTCCCTCTTTGCATGCAACCAGTCACATCTGAATGGCAAATCAAGGGAGAGGTGAGCAGTTCTGGAAAATACACTTATGTGGGAAATCTGACAGTTAAAGCTGATTTACAGAGAGCCAGCCTGTCTACTACAATATTCTTAAAATAAGAATATTGTAATACTCTTATTTTAGGAATATTGTGTGCACACACACACAATACTGTGTGTGCTCTCCCCTACACACCGTTACCCATTATAGTATCTGCCAGACTATTTCACATGCTGATAAAATACAGTGATACAGGAAGTTATTTCTTAATATCTACTGGTTCTTATTTTTTCTTATATTTTTGTAAGTTTTCAAATCCTAGTATTAGGCACCTGTAATTCTCCTGTATTCACCTCCACATTCAGCTAAACTTGTGATCTTTATTACAATCCTATTACAAACCTCTAATGAGGTTACTTTCTTAATTTTAGTATCTTTGAGTTTTGCCAAAGATAATTTTATTCATTACATCTTGCTCTTTAATTTCCCCATTTTGTCCCATACAACATGCAAATAAAACTGTTGATCTCAGTCTCAATAAATACTCAGAGAGTTCAGGAACTTTTTAAACACCTTAAGATGCTCTAGCGAATTACCCAGATTCATTTCCTATGCTAATTCACAGAGTCAGAAACACGTTAAGGAAATATTCTAAGAGGAATGAGCAAGTAAATGAAAAGCTACTGGACCAATTTGACTATAGAGCTGTAATGCCTTTAAGTTCCTAAATATCTATGTTAAGTTTTAAATTTACCTGCAACCTCAACTATCAGAGCCATGGGCTCCAGGGATTAAATGCTGTATTCTGCTCCCTGTCCTCTGGAACAAGTAGTAATTATTAACATAAATGACTCACCAGGAATCTATTGTATTTCCTGACAAGGTGGATATTGGTACAACTGCTGCACAGATTCCAACCTGAATGGGGTTTACTACCGCAAAGGAGAGCACACCAAGAGCATGGATGGCATCACCTGGTACGGATGGCACGGATCGACCTATTCACTCAAGAGAGTGGAGATGAAGATCCGGCCAGAGGATTTCAAACCATAGAAGAAATCAACGTTTGATTGTACAGCTACATGACATCACCACGCAAAAGGTGGGCTATAAACAGCCAAATAATGTTTCATTTCATCCAATACATGCAACAGCTATGTACTGGTGATGTACACAAACACTGCGACACCAGTCACAGCCACCAGTATTATCAGGACTCAGGCTTGTTTCCTCCTCTTCAGGCTCTTTCCAAAGGGAAAAATATTGTGTTAGAGTAGCTTAGAACTGAATGCACTTATAGCACCTTCAGAAAACCTACGGCTGTGTTTTCACTAGCAGTGTGATTACTGGGTTGCCTTAGTACTATTAACCAGATAGGCAGGGACTGAAAAGCAAAAGCCTCTTGGCTTCCTTTCCTTCAGTGTCTGGAGCAAGCACTGCTAAGCAACTTCCTTCAAGAAGTACTCAAACCACAAAAGTTATGGACTCATTTCAAGCCAGAGGAATCAATCAGAAGTGTCTTTGATGCACCTTTCTTTAGTGTATACTAAGTGGCTTACCTTCCCACAGAAGAAAGAACAAATCTCAAAAATGTTGTGTTAATTAGCATTGTCCAGATTCTCCCCTGAAGTTTTACTGCCACCTCCTGCTGCTGCCTCAAATAATCCTCACTGAAGGCTGCCCTAACAGATAGCAGCACTGGAGGAGGATTTGTCCCATGGGCCCTTCAATGTTTATTTCTATCCATACAGATCACCTAAATGCTGATAAACTAGAAAAAAGTCCTGATGCAGCCAAAGAACTCAGATCCAACATTTAAAACCACTGTATTCATGAGCAGAACACCAGTACACACCAGAGAATCCCTAAGTGCCAAAAGTAAGGGAATGTTTGCTAGCACAGCAGATTGAGGAGTATCAAAATCTGTTTTGAAAACTACCCCAGCTGGAAGTTACTTAGGGATAGTCTGTCAAAAATAGTAAACTTCTCTCTCACATAACACAGTGTTAAAGATAACAGTTAAAAAAGAATGAGACTCCTCCTATAGCCCTACCATTGTTTGAAAATGTTGGAAAAGATTGTTATAATTAATATATCTATTTTTATTCACCTTGAAGAGAGTTTGAATCTAGAATAGGTTGTTCAGTCCTGTGTGAAATGGAAGATATAAAGGTGTCTTGGGAATTTACATATGTTCAAATATTCATAATGCAATTTTCAACTGTGTGGAACTACAGTTGGAGCTATTTTAACTGTTGTCTATTATGGATTTTTAGAGGTTTCTAAAACATCTTCATTTCTAATAAATTGTTTCATTTTTAAGGGTGCTTTACATCAATTCTTTGCTCCTTAACTTGCTTTTTGATACACAAAAAAACAACTGCATTACCAACTGAGACCAAGAAAAAAATTTAAAAATACACTGAATTTTGTATTTTTCTCAATAACATGAGGCAGAATGAAGGGTGAAAAAATAATAGAGGAGAAAAAAATTGGAAAACACAATTCCAAGGAAGTAGGAGGGTTGAAAAAATCACCACATAAAGACAAAGTTAAGTTTTTGCTCAATCAAAATCAATTTGTTCACCTCAAATAGCTGAGCTAACAATTCTGTGATATAGAATAGAGATTCACATTTTAAAACATCAAATCCTGTGCAGGTATTTCAGGCTAACATCTGTGTCACTGACCAAGCTCAGAAACAACACATAATTTATAGTATCTTCTATTTGACATCAGAGCAATGAGACCTATCTAAGGTAAATCAGCAGAATGTGATGAGAAATTTTAATTAGGAACTTCAACTTTTCTGATTTATTTATATGCAGGTGTAGAAATCTGTCTAATTTAATCTGCAGCCACTTCATGACATTCCATAGTGAGCTGGAAGGGTGAGAGAGGGGAATCACAACTTTTTCCTGCACTTCTTCCTGCACAACTTCCCTGAGCTTCTAGCATAGTTTTAACCACACACTAGAAGGACAGAACTCAGGAGTTAAAATTGCACATTTGCAAGTAGTTTAACAACATCTTGTGACAGCATGAAGTCCTAAGAACTGCCTAGATTAATCCTAGTGGTATCTTAAATTGTAGCTACAGCAAGAGCAGAAATCTCATCAGTTGTGGTCCTACCTGATGAGAGACTCTAGAATAGCTGGGGTGGGACCTTTTTGAAATTCCAGCTCTTTGTAGTGAAGGGCCTTAGCATATGCTCGACATTTGGCAGCTCTTTCCCCCAGCAGGACAATGCCATTGTCATCTCTCAAAGGCAGTGGGCCCTGGGAAGGAGCACACACATCAAAAACAGGATGAATTCTACAAAGTAGTCATGAACTCCACACAGAATAGCCACCACTATAGCAATAAAAGGAGCTGCCCAACAGCATCTCTCTACCTTGTCACTGTGCTCCATGAATTCTGCCAAGTTCAGAAGAGTCTGAGTGACTTCTGCAATATCCTGAGATGTCAAGGCCAACTCAATGCTTCGGATCAGCTCATCCTGCTGGTCTTCATTCAGTTCAGACCAACATGAAACAAAAGCAGCATTGAAGAGGTCTCTGGGGAGGAACACAAACAACAGTGTGAGGAGGGGATTAATGAGAATAAGTCTGTTTGACAGTGGGCTCATCTTCTTACCCAGAGAAAGAGAGCTAAAAAATACACTTACATGCCTACCTGCAATAAACAGTAATTAGTTTTAATAAAGCTAACTTCTGTGAAACCTTCATTTAAAAAATATAGAACAGGCTGGTATACTATAGTAAGAGAAATATTGTACTATCATATGTTTTCAAAGTTTCTCCAAATATGCTGGTTGTAAAGAAACACTGCAGTTTATTCCACTCAGAGGCATTTTTAATCCCCACAGTAAATACTCAATACAAATATTTCATACTCTGCTGTTTTTCCAGCTTCACTTATGTGCATTATCATATTTCTGGACTAACATGCAGAATTTTAATGGAAGATTTTGTGCACATCATGGAGCAGCCAACTAGGAAGACTGGAAATGAAATCAAGCTGTTGGCTCTTTGATTTATACCAAAGCAGAAACTATATTTATGAAACCTAAGAGCTTCTAAATAACTTGTTTTCCTTATAATATCTGGCTTCCATCTGCCATTTCAAGTGAGATAAAAATCCAGAAATACTGTACCGAGCCATGGGATTATAGGCTTGAGCCAGGGCCCAACACGAGCGCAGGGATGGGGAGGAAGAATCTTTCAGCAGCTCCAAACTCAGCCTCCTTAACCATTCCAACCAGTCATCCTTGGAAACTCTTCTTGCTGCTCCCCAGGCCTGCAGTACAAAGGAAGACAATTCACCTACCAAACAAAGAACTATCCAAGAGCACAAAAATCCTTCAGCAGGCAGCATTACTTCTTTACAGCTCCAAACCACATGCTGAGAATTCCTTTTAAATTTCCTGAAATCCATTACCTTTACCAGATAATCTGCAGTAGTTAAGTCTCATGTCTAAGAAATCTTCCCTAAATGTATTCCTGCCATGACATGGCAAGTATTTAACATGAACAATCCTTTCTCTACAAAAATACATGTAGGGCTGAAGACACTGTTGAAACATCAGCTTAAAAATACTTAATGCACTTAGAATTATATTTTTAAGTCCAGCATTTTTAAACCAATCCATCCCATTACTGAACTGTGTGCTGCATGCACATACTGTTCAAACTACCCAGTGCTTAGCTATTAAGTTCTGCCTCCAAGAAAACATAAAACTAGGATGTAAGAGGAGCAAAAGCAAAAATTCAGGCAGAGGCTCTGAAAAAGATGTCTCTGTTGGTGAGAGATTATTCATTGTGATATAGAAAGTCTTGTTCATACTTAACAAGCAAATGTAAAGGTTACTTCACAGCCATTCACTCCTATCTTTAAAGCTGCTCAGCACCTTCTACTTTTAAGGAGTCTCAGACACTATGACCTCAGTTTTGTACAGAATAGAAAAGCAACATAAAAGCAATATAAATAAATGTGGTTCAGATGCACCAGACAAAACTCCTTCAGTGTGACATATTAGCTCCCTTCAGGGGCAAATTCATGTGTGAAGGCTCTAGTCTTACCTTCTGCAGGTTGATGGTGCTCACATGTAATTTTTTCATGGGACCGGTTTCCACAGGACCACTGGGCAAAGTTTCTCCCTGGTTGCTTCTCAACATTCGATGCTGATAAATCAGGGGATCCTCTTCTTCATCAGCAAGAGTGTAACCCTACAATAATTGGTTTACAGTGAAGATCACACCCACACATACAGAAGCAATTCTTGACAAGCCAAAAAAAGAGCACTTGCAGCAAAATCTTACAGCAAAATCTGTGAAGCAAATAACCATGTTTCATTATAAAGATTACACCTTATAAGGCAGAAACTCTAAACAATATCCCTTTGCTGCTCAATGTAACTGTCAAGAACTCTTAGCTCCTAGTATAAAAAGCCAAAATAATACATATTGAAACAAGCACTGTTGCCTATTTGACTTGCTAGTTGCTTGTTCCACACAAATTGTAAACTGGTTACTAAAGTTTTAAAATGTAAGACATTCCACAGAAAATAGATAACAAGGTCTCCTCAAGTCCTGAAACCATGGGAAAAATAGGATAAAACCACATTTAAGAACTACCAAGAAAAAGAATAGTAATGACACTGGCTACAAGTCTAAGTTCTTCGCTATGATTTTTCTGTAGGAAATATTTAATATCAGTATACAAAAAATTCCCCATTGCAACCTGAAAGTTGCATTAAAAAGCTGCACTAAACACAAAAACAGAGCAACAACCACTCCTCATTTTATGAGTAGATCCAAGTGAAGGTTCCAGTTACATCTGTTTACATGACAACATCCCAAAAGTGCAAACAACTGTACACTTGTCAGCTTACCTTTACAATTCTGCAGATGAGAACATCATAGCGTTGATGGTTAATTCTGTGTCGCACCAGGACTTTGTTCACCATCGGGATAAAAATTTGGTACTGTAAAAGGGAATGCATCATAAACTTGTTACTCAGTGGCACCAGGAACAGTAAAATTCCATCACATTGTTTCATTGATGGGAAACCAATCCTGACAGTTTGATTTCAGTAACTCCCTATGCCAGAAACAGCTAAGAGAAGAAAAATCAGTTCTCTGGGAAATCCATGAGTACATTACAAAACTTCAATTTTAAAGCCTTGATCTCTGGGACAGTCACACCTTCTGTGAGC